AGCAGTGCTGACTTGTAACGGGCTGGAAGTGCTCTCCTCTGGCACCAGGTTTCCTGGCTCTGCTATACCGACGCTGGCACCCACAGAGGGCTCTGATGGCCGCTGGGCACCTTGCCCTGTGGTAAAAGCAGAGTGTCACCTGAAATGTTTACTGCTGCCCTGGCTTTGAATTAGGCCTGATCTCTGAAGGGGAACTCCTGTAAACCAACCTTTGCCCCTCTTGAGCAAGCGAATGTGAAGAGAAGCGACCTTCAGCTGTCCACCATCCTCTCCATGGTGATGCCTTCCTTGCTGAATGTGTGTCCTCCTTCCCAGGCGGAGGCCGTGATAGCATCCAAGAAGATGGACAAGGAGTACTTGCCCATTGCAGGGCTAGCAGATTTCACGCGGGCATCCGCAGAACTGGCTCTGGGTGAAAACAGTGAAGCTTTCAAGAGTGGCCGGGTAAGGAGCGAGCTGGGAAGCAGGGGGTGGGCAGTGCTGTCTGATGCATCGTTGGTACGTGGGTGCCCAGAAAAAGTGGAAGGACTGGCAGGACTCATGCCTCTGAGTTGCAAGCTGGCCAGACCCAAGGATAACTGCTTCCTCTGAAGGCTGGGGTGAAATAGACCTTCCTGAGGAGGGGATTTGACCTTTCCAGTGGTCCCAACTCCCTGCCCTGCAACTGGAGTTGCTGACCCATGCAGTTCCCTCCAGCCCCATGCCCCTGTTTGAGTGAGTTGTTGCAGAGATGTCCTTCTGCCAATGCTGACATAGTGACTGGGCTTTCTCTGTATCATACTGTGGCTGCTCAGACTCGTGTATTTGTTTCTTCCCTTGCAGTATGTCACTGTGCAGGGTATTTCTGGGACTGGATCTCTGCGAATTGGAGCCAATTTTTTGGTGAGTCCCTGGCTGGTGGGGGAAGGAAAGGACATCTTTTGACCAGATGGTTTTTGGGGCTCTTTGGGGTTTTCTAACTGCTTGAATCTGTTCAACCTGTTTGCATGCTCTGTCTTTCTCTTGATCAGCAACGGTTCTTCAAGTCTAGCCATGATGTGTATCTACCCAAACCGTCCTGGGGCAATCACACACCCATTTTCCGTGATGCTGGCCTGCAACTTCAGGCTTACCGCTACTACGACCCCAAGACATGCAGCCTTGACTTCTCTGGAGCCATGGATGACATTTCCGTGAGTTGCCTTTCTTGCCTGGAAGCAGGGACGTGATGTGGGGAGATGGGTGATCATCTTGCTTTAGCCTAAATATCATAGAATCATAGAATAGTTTGGGTCAGAAGGGACCTTTAAAGGTCATCTAGTCCAACCCCCCTGCGATATGCATGGACATCGTCAACTAGATCAAGTTGCTCAGATCCCTGTCCAACCCGACCTTGAATGTTTCCAGGGATGGGGCATCTACCACCTCTCTGGGCAACCTGTTCCAGTGTTTCAACACCCTCATAAAAAATTTCTTCCTTCTATCCAGTCTGAATCTACCCTCTTTTAGTTTAATACCATTGCCCCTTGTCCTATCTCAACAGACCCTGCTAAAAAGTCTGTCCCTGTCTTTCTTATAAACCCCCTTTAAGTACTGAAAGGCCGCAATAACGTCTCCCCAGAGCTTTCTCTTCTCCATGCTGAACGTCCCAACTCTCTCAGCCTTTCTTCATAGAAGTGCTCCATCACTCTGACCATTTTTTAATATGATGCCTGAAGGCACCAAGTGAAGGCTAGATGCCTTGCAGAGCTTGTCTAAGTTGTCTAGGGCAAGAGTCCCATCTCAGCTGCTGAGGAGAGTGCTCAGATGTCATTAATGATTCATTCTCTGTAACATCTTCCTTAGAAAATTCCAGAAAAGAGCATCATCCTCTTGCATGCTTGTGCTCACAACCCCACTGGGGTGGATCCCCGGCAGGAGCAATGGAAGGAGTTGGCAGCTATGGTGAAGGTGAGCAGGAGAGCGTCCCAGGGGTATTGTGCTGTTCCTGGGAGAATCATGTCTCTGGGCTTTCATGGGTGGTTATCTGTCCTTCACTGTGCTAAAGGTTACTCCCTTCACTGAAGACAGAATGGGTGTCATGTTCCTGTACTGAAGAAGACAGGAGCCAGACAAATGTACCCATAAAGCTTCTAGCTGACCGTCAGACTTTCTGCTGGCACCTTCCCAGGAAGCTGGGGTAGGGAGACCTGAAAGGAGAGCAGCAGGGTTGAAAGAGTGAGTTGTGATAGCTGGAGAGGGTCTCCCAGTGCTGGTCTATTAAAAATGCTGGAAGATCTTTCGCATGCCTGGTGTCTCCTCACAAGTTTCACCTGGAAACAGATAGAGAGGCAGGTTCTTCTTTCATCCTTCTCATCTTCCTCCCTGCCGCTCCCCCAGGCCATAGCCAGTGAAATTTGGGTTGGGGATGCCTGGCCTTTGTAGTGTTCTGAGAATTGGTAGATAACCACAGTGGCCTCTGGGGCCTACAGATGGTTGTGGGTCTCCTGACCGAGGGGCAGTGCAGCTGGGTTATCTGCCTGGAGGCATGGGAAGGGCTGGCACCTACCCAAAGGGTTCCCAGGTGGTTTTCCTGGAAAATGATAATACAGGAGACACTGAAATGGAGTAATTTATTACTGCTGAATCCACCTGCCTTCTGGGCCAGACTGCACATCCCATAAATGCACTGGGAGGGTCTTGACCTGCTGTTTTGATGGGTGTTGAATAGCTGTGGGTTTGGGGCTGCCTTCCCTGTTGAAAACAAAGGGGAATGATTCTACCTCTGGAGGAGCACAGTTGCAGTTGAGCAGCCTGCTGCCTGCATGGCTCTCTTCAGCCTACTGCCCTGCTCCCTGGAGGGGTGTCAGCTCCTGTGACACTCTCTCCCCTCTTTGCTGGCAGAAACGGAACCTCCTTGTGTACTTTGACATGGCCTACCAGGGCTTTGCCAGCGGGGACATCAACCGGGATGCCTGGGCTGTGCGGTATTTCATCGAGCAGGGCAACAATGTCATCTTGTCACAGTCCTACGCCAAGAACATGGGGCTGTATGGTGAGTAGGGCAGGTGGTGTGGAGACTGTTTCATCCAGGCTGCTGGAGGGACCCCACTGCCTCCGGGGGTCAGCAGCCAGTGTCTTTCTGCTGCCTGCATTCATCCTGCAGTAACAACTGGGGAGATGACCTGCTGGGAGCTGGTGGAGACCCTTCTAGAGAACAGGGCTCCACTAAAGCTATGTGGCATTTGGATAAGTCCTGCCCCAGCCCTGGGTATCCAAGGGCAGAGGCTGGGACCTGATTGCCTGTCTTTCAGGAGAGCGTGCGGGTGCCTTCACGGTGATCTGCAGTGATGCAGAGGAAGCCAAGAGGGTCGAATCACAGCTGAAGATCCTCATCCGCCCCATGTACTCCAACCCACCCCTGAACGGAGCCCGCATCGCCTCTATCATCCTGAACACCCCTGACCTTCGGAAGGAGTGGTAAGAGGGGAACTCCTAATGCTCGCAACAGTGAGATGTGAGGTCTCTCTGAGGCAGCCCTGCGCTGTGCTGACGGCCTGCTGCTGTCATGGGCAGCTCATAACTTCAGGGGTACAGTCAGAACCACGCGCTACCGCTTTCCTCTGGAGAAATCCCTGCTCGTGTCCTGGCATCAGCTGGGATCAGTCCAGCCTGACACAAATATGTTTCCCTTGTGTTCAAGGCAGAAACACTGTAAAGGAGGAGATAAAGCTCCCCTAGGATTGAGGGCTGCAGGAACTGCCTGTCCAAGGAGTGGAAAAGACTTGACTGAGGCATTGTAGCCACATAGTATGTCTCATACGGGGGAAGTAGAAGCGTAAGCCCCCTGGGAATAAGACCTGGGAGTGTATCCCTCATGCCCTAAGCCTGCTTCCTGGCATCAGCCTGTGCTGCTCTCCTAGCCCCTTGGCGTCGAATCCCTGCTGGCAGCTGTCCTGGCAGAACAAAGGCTGGCTGTGTGTTATGGCCTCACTGGGAGCCATGTTCCTTTGGCATGCTGACACTTGTGCCTGATCCAGGGCCCAGCAGAGACGTCTCCTAGCTGTGCTGCCTTGGAGCAGGGATGTCTGCCTGTGCTGGGAGGTACCGCCGCAACCCTTTGTTTATCTGCAGATATTATTTTGTCTGGGTTTGGGCAGTGCTGCCTTGAGGCCTACTCACCTGTGGCTTTCAGAAGTGACAGATGCCGATACTCTGGTAGTAGTGTCCAACAGCTGTGGAATAAATAAATAGCAATCACCTTCAGGTACCAGGAGAAAGAAGCAGCTCCCCTGCTGGAGCTACAGGTTCACACTCTCTGGTCTTTGCTCATCTGCATCCCCCACATTTTTGGGGTATGAGGCCCTTCCAGGTGGAGAGGGTTGATTCCCAATAGCTGTGGGGGGAGTGGCTGTTGGTGCATCCCAGCCCTGCTCTGAGCCGTTTCTGGGTTGGCTTCTCAGGCTTGTGGAGGTGAAGGGCATGGCTGACCGGATCATCAGCATGCGGACTCAGCTGGTGTCCAACCTCAAGAAAGAGGGATCCTCCCACAACTGGCAGCACATCACTGACCAGATCGGCATGTTCTGCTTCACAGGGCTGAAGCCTGAGCAGGTAAACACAGTTTCCTGTGGTCTCAGGGTGTTGTTTGTGGTCCTTGTTGGTAAGATCTTGACTGCAGGTGCCAAAATGAGCCCTCGTGGGCAGTTCTTCCTCCAAGGAGGAACATCCTCCAAGCCTGTAGCACTGGAGCATTGTGGGGACCCATGTCTTGCTCTGCTCCCTGCTGTGCCTGTGGAAGTTGAAAGCGGATGTAGCCTGCTTATCTGTCAAAGGAAGCAGTCACTTGGTGGCACTCTGAGGTGACCTTAAAGGTCAGCTCAAGTGAGGTGACTCCTGGCTGAACATCTGCAGTGTTTGTGTGTTGCCCGAGAGCCGAGCAGCATCTCTCTTGGTTTACAGGGTGGCTCTGCAGGTAGTGGAATGCCATGTCTGCTGGCTTCCAGTTTGCTTTCAGTTCTGGCAAGCTGGGTAAATTTGCATGCTGCTAGGAGAGTAGAGGTTGGCCTGCGGTTTGAACTCTGCTCTTTCACCCCAGGTGGAGCGGCTGATCAAGGAGTTCTCCATCTATATGACAAAGGACGGACGAATCTCTGTGGCGGGAGTTACGTCGGGCAATGTAGGTTACCTGGCTCATGCCATCCATCAAGTCACAAAGTAAAGACAAAGGTGTGCCCTGGAGCTGGTGGCCTTCCCTTCCCCACTGGTCAAAGATGGGGAGGGAAGGGAAACAAGCAGAATACTTCCAACCACAGCACTTGACGCCGCTGCTGAATGTGTCTTGTAGATGAGTTGTTGTAGAAGCCTAGTCAAAACCATCCTGCATTGTGGAGCAGGGACATTGTTGCTGGCTCCCGCTTGTCACAGCTGTTCTCCCCTGTCCATTCATTGTCCATCAGCCCCAGCACCCATCTGCACTGGAGGAAGCAAATGCTCTAGCATTGCCATCCTACCAGCACCAAAGGCTCCCCCACACTTGTTTCTCCATGAGAAGGCTTTGTGAGGCTGTTGGCCACTGGCCCAAGCAGCAGTGGGCAGGGAGCTGAGTGGGAGAACTGCTCAGGTGTGCCCCTACCACCTCCTCAGCAGGTCCCTGCTGCCAGGAGGCTCCATCCTCCTTCATCTTCCTAGCCCAAGGCTGGGCAGCACCAAAGCTGCTCTCAGACAACCAGCTCTGAGGACTTCTCACTACTAAATCTGCTCTATCATTGGCTGTGCTCTTTCCATCTGGGAATCTCCTTTCAGGGGTAATTCACAGTGGCATTGGTGTGTGGGGCAGACCTGTGTCCCATCCTCTAAATCTGCCTGGTTCTCCTGACTTCACTCCCATGCCCTGAGGTGAAGCAACTCCTTCCCCCCACCTCAATAAGAACCTCCTCTGAAAACTGTTCTCTGTTGGTCTCTGCTTCTCCCCATTCCTGTACCAACCCCAGCAGCCCAACTCTGTACCCCCAGCAGCCCTCCCTGCAAAGCAGAGTCTTTCTGTGTGTCCCAAAGGGATGAGCCAAGAGGTGGGCCCTGCCACGTCCACCCTCACATGGGGGTGCAGGGTGGCCCTCTCATCAGCTCTGTTCAGCCAAATTTCTGGTGACACAGAAAACAGGAAGGAAAGATCCTAAGGGAAGTGTGAGAGCTGATGACTCAAAAAACATTCTGTCCTTTAAAATGAGTGTCCCTGACACCCTGTGACTCACTGGACTCTGATTTTTAATCCAAATAAACTGGTGGATGCTGTGTTGAGCTGGGGACTTCCTCCTGTCATTGCACAGCTGGATCCTGTCCCTTCAATGCATCAAATATTCCCTGTCAGGAATGTGGCAGTGCAGGGGTTCTTGTATGGCCAGTGAAACCCTCATCTCCCAAGAATCCCATGTAGAGAGAGGGCAGAGCCCACCTGTGTGCCCCAAGAGCACCGGGGAGTGTGGGCTGAGGCTGCCCCAGGTGAGAGTTGGTGTCGCAGAGCTGAAATTGAAGCCTATGGGGCTGAACTGTGGCTGGGGAGAGCGTGAGTTCCCAAAGGCCGTCTGCCCTGTGCCCAGCCACTGGAGCATGATGGAGTTTCTCCTTGCAGCAAGCAAAGCTGTCGCCCTAGGTGGACCTGGAGGGGTTACCTCTGAGTCTGCGTGAGCTTTTTCCATCCACTGGCACCTTTCCCCTTTGCGGCCATCCCAGGACATTTAGCAGAGCAGTCCTCATTTCTCATTCCTGCCCAGAGCAGCCGTGTTCTCCTGGGAGCCAGGATGGGCCTGTCTAATGCATGCTGTCGCCGCACTTGCCGGCAGAGCAGCTGCTTGCGCAGGCTGAGGAGGACTGGAGCTTCCCATCGCTCCCAGACAGACAGTTTGCACTTTCAACGGCGATGATTGTTTACATGGCCCAATGCCCACAGCCGCTGCTTGCTCTAATTTGTGCAATAAACCGCTCTCTGCTGCTGCCGTGGGTGCTGCCCCATGGCGCTGTGGGTTCTCGTGCTGTGGTCCCCGGTTCTAAAAAAAACCCTCCCCCCCCCTGCCACTCCTGGTTGCAGAGAGCCCTTTTACCTTGGGTTAGGCCTTTCTGCTGCCCGTTCTCAGTGACAATAAAAGTAGAGCTGGAGCACAGCCCTGCCTTCTCTCCCTGTTCTTGCCCGCGGGCCCCTCCGGGTTCAGCTGCAGAGCGGTGGGGATGGGCAGGGATGGGCTTCCCGAAGGCGGAGCCCCTGGCCTGGTCCCCGGGGATGGGCATCGCTTCCCGGCCGAGATGCGGGCGCCCC